AGCAAGTACTGGAGCAGACTGTAGGAGAGGAGAAAGGAGGAAGGGGAAGGTGAAAAAATAATTTCCTTTTATTTTTTATAATTATTTAAATAGGAGTAGAAATGAAATTTAATTTTATTCATATTCCCAACCAAACGGGATTATTGGATTCATGAATCCACGATCATTCGAATCTAATCCTCCATCATTCAAATCTGTTTCCAAATCCGTTTACTGTTGACAAAACAAACGCCTCCTAAGTACACTTATAAATGGGTATGGAAATATTTGACCAAATGACGTCACTGTTTACATTATATTTTTCTAAGGCAAAATTGTTTTGAAGAATATTTTACAATTGACATCACTTTCTATGCCTAAGGAAAATGAAGGAATTACCAATGTACTAAAACAATACTTGAAAGTTGGCACAAAAGTGGAAATCCTTTTACTTTAGGCTACATCATGTCTCCAACAACAATCAAATTATCAACAGAAAATTGCATTTACTGATGATGTGCAGTTGAACAAAACTTGCACAGTAGCAGTGCAAGGGAACCCAAGCTTGATGGAGGGAGAGATCGCAATTGTTGCCGACTTGCCGTACATGGAAAAAGTTTTCCAAAGTAATTGGACTACAAGTTTGATGGAGGGAGGGAGTACAATTGTAGCTGTGAATGGAAAAAATGTTTTCCAAATTAATTAAAGTGAAACCGAATAAAACACTAAATAAAAAATAAATGACAAAATTATGAATTACTTGGTTCTCCAATATCACCATCATCACTATTCAATAAAAGATTAAATATAAACTACACCTCGTTTCTGTTTGGTTCATTTTTTTATGGTGTTTTATTATTATTAATTGTCTCATCCCAATATATTTCTTTACATTTCTAATGTACCTTTTTACATTTATAATAGAAAAACACTTAAAAATACACACTAAGAAAATAATTCAAACATATTATTATAATACACTACTATACAAACTGGTCACACAACGTGCGACAAAAAATCAACCTAGTTAAATTACAAAAGGAGTACTATTTATTAACAAAGTAGACTATTTTAATTTTTAGGACATATGAATTAAAATATGGCTTAATAAAATAATCCATATCGAATTTTTAAATTTGTGTTAAAATTAGTATAAATCTTAAAACTCAAAGCGAATTTTTTAGTACTCACTTTGTCTCAAAATTACTGTGTAGTTTAGTTTTTACTTTTAGTTCAAATTATACTAAAATTGAAAATTTAAGCCGAACAATAATTTTAGAAGAGAGAGAATATTGTATAGCGGTAATTTGTTCGTTGGTCGAAATTTTAGCCGAATCGACGAAGTTCGGATGCCATTGTTGTTACCGATGGTAGTCAACAAAACTAGTTTTCTGTCCAAACTAATTTCAAAGTCAATTTCAAAATAATTACTCCCTCCATTACAAAATAAATATCGTCCTACACTTTGCACATAGTTTAAGAAACTCTTAAATATGGTAATAAAATTAATTGAATATCCTCAACTAACCCCATCATAAAATTGTCCACCGATAGCATCAACTTTTTTAAGGGTAATTTTGAAAACTTTTGACAAAAAGTGTATTGAAATGTGAGAACGACACTTATTTTGGTATTTCTCTATTTTGTTAAAACGACACTTATTTTGGAATGGAGGGAGTATCAAACACATAACCACACAAAAAAATACAAAATACAAATCAAAATAACTGAGAAGGCAACTCACGATCGTTGTGAGTCTATAGTCAACCATGACAAAGTCCTGTAAAACAAAAGCTAGCAATCCGAAACTTAGTCAGTTACATATGAGAAAGTAATTACATTATATTTAGAGAGAGAAAATATGAGAAATTAACTCGTGAAATAAATGAATTGGAAGGTATTTATACCCCAAATGTTGCTGTATATTAACGGGATTCACTTGATATATTCCCTCTGGTCCTTATTATAAGATATTTTAATTTAGTCCTAGGTTTAAGTTAGAATGACTTTTTAATTGAAAAAAAAATCTGAAAAATATATTTTTACATTCGTTGTGTTCTCCTAATTATTATGAAATGTTTTTAAGGTTTTTATTCTAATTAAAAAAATATTATAGGTGAAACTCTGGGCGAAATTAAAATGCCTTATAATAAAGACTAGAGGAAGTATTTTTTTTTTTTTTTGGTTAAATATATATACTCGGGTAGCAAATGCTCTGTTACAGAAGTCAACTCGTCAAGTTAGAGTTGAGCTAATAGCTTCTATTGCTAATTTATTTAGGATTGATGCCGGGTATTGATAAAACGTATTTTTCGGGTTCCAAGATAACCTAGTTTGGCTAGAGACTCACTATGATGGGCTAGCCTGATAAGTACACAACTTGGGCTGAAGGGAGATTGGACCCGTCAGACCCAAAGGCCATCAATAACAATTCAAACAGGTCATAGTTTATTTTGTTATTTAAGACAACATATTTTGTCAATGTTTTCCAGCCCAAACGTTAAACAATATGTTTATAATTATCAGTTTTACTGTAGAATTTTGATTTTTTAATAATCACCTCAATTAGTATTTAATTATTTACTAGATGGAATGAACGCGCTTCGCACATACGTAAATCATACTATTATATAGTAAAAAATATACAACATAATTTAGTGTAAATATAAATAGTATTTTAACACTTGGAAAAAAAAACACGCACACATACACTAAGTGAATAATAGAATACAATCAATTTTTTCCATAACAAAGCCTTTCCCACCCCATCCACCCTCCCCTCAAAAAAAAAAAAAAAAAGGAAGGGGGAGGGGGGAAGGAAAAAGAAATCGAAACTGGAAGTTTCATAAAAAACGAGTAAAAATAATTGAGTTGGTGATTACCTTCAATGAAGTCGGGATGAAAAGGTAATCGAGCGCAGAAAACAGACAAATGAAAGCAAAAAAAAGATAGATGTGATAAAACTCTTATTTTTTAGAGTTATATATATTGACAAATTTAAAGTACAAAACTCTTAGTATTTTATCTGAATTACGGAATCTTAAAATTTAAAAAAGAGAAGAAGAAAAGATACATGAAAATTTAAAGCTACAAAATTACTGAAACCATGGCCAATAATATTTCAACTAACAATCAGCCTTAATTTGTTTATAATATTTAAATTAAAAATAAAATAAAAATTCATTGAAGGGATCAAAAGTCAGAACATTAAGGAACACCAAATGTAACCCATAAATCTAATTAAAGGGAGAAGTAGCGATTTAATTCGAACGTTTACTCTAGTTGTCGATTTAGTTCAAACGTTTGTTCTACTTGTCAATTTCATTCAAAAGTATGACTTTTGTCGTCGTTTTAGTCCCTTGGACGAAAAAATCACTCAAACTAAAAAAAAATTAGGCCAAATAGTTTAGAAATTTTTTAAAAATGCCCCTTATGGTATAAAAATTTATAAAAAGTATTTTACTTTTAAATTTTCTTGTCCATTGTTTTTCTTGATTTTTTTTTTGTATGCACCAAAAAGTTATGAAAACAGATCGAGAAAAAATAAAAAAATACAAGTTTTTAATTAACATAAAAGAAAAAAGAAATAATTATTGAGAAAAAATGAAGGTGTAACATAATTTTGTATATATTTATAACACATAGAAAAAATGGTGTCATAAAAAAGAATTTGTAATATAGTTTTTTATGTATCTATAACATAGAGGAAAAAAAATGGAGTTCATATTTCACACTAAAAAAAATTTAAAATGATTTTTATTAAGAGACTATTAGATGTAAATTAATAAATAAATTTAAATATCTTTTTTATACCATAAGGGTTAAGTTTTGAAAACTTTTATACTATTTCGCCTAACTTAAATTAGTTTGAGGGTATTCTCATCCAAAGGACTAACTCGACTACAAAGTAATACCTTTGGATGAAATCGACAACTAAAATAAACGTATAGACTAAATCGACGACTAGAGTAAATGTTTGGACTAAATCGATACTTTTCTCCTAATTAAATAAAAAAATTAAAGAAAAAAAAAGGAAGGAGATCAAAAGTTAGAACATTAAATTAAATAAACACCAAATGTAACACAAGCCTTTTTATTTTCTTGGTTGCAAAAGAGGGAAAAAACCTCCATAATTAATACTTCAAAAGGACTACCAAATTCAAGTTTACATTTTGCAATTATAATATATGTTGATAACATTCAACCCTTTAGTGATGTTTACATTGTCGTTGAAAGACTTAGTTCACTCTTTGTTTTAACTTGTATTGCCAAAGAAGACAAGCAAATGGTTTTAATGATGCTCTTAATTGGTTGCAGATTTCAGATGATGGTGCCTTTGGAGAGCGTATACCTTCAAAACAAAAGGAGGAACTTCAGAAGGCGTGTTATGACCTTCTAGATAATCCTAAATTTGTATGATATCAATCTTTCTTTTTTTTGTTATTTTTTTTAATTGTTGTACAACGTACTTAATAATCCTGGGTAGCATCACATGTAAGCTTTTGTTTTATTTATGTGAGCTTTTATTTTTTGATTATGCAGCTCAAAGGCCCATCTAAGTTTCCCTTATCATCTCCTACGGTTCTCAGGTTCCATCCAATTCCTTTGGCCTGTTATTTTAATAGTTTGCTGTTATTTTCATTCTAATCACTAGCCATTCTAACTAGGTACTTTAAGGGTTCTGCCTGGGCGAACACTCTAAATGAAGCTTTTCTTGTACATGGTGAATTATTTAAAACAAGTTTTTCTTGTACATGGATTGGTAGACTTTAATGTTCAAATAGTCAGCTTTAACCTTGAAATGCATGTTGAATATTGCACAAGTTTTCTATTTGATTTATTTGTGGTTGATGGAGAGCTAAATGGCTTCATTAGTGATTTGGGATTTAAATATTTGCTGTGTTAAGAAAATTCGCTATTTCCATAAATTTTGCATTCTAAAACTGAAATTAACTTTTTGACTAATTCTGCTCTTTCACTAAACTTTGTATTCTTATATCTAACTAATTTTCAACAGTGGAATGTTCGATGAATGGACAAACGATTATTGCATAGTTGCACCAAGTTCCGGGGGGACTCGGTACCTGATGCTGATCAAGAGAGATGGTTGTTATCTGTTTGATATGGATTTCGATGTCTTACGGTTCGAGTTGCTGTTTAATAAGTCGGTATGTAGTCAATGTAATAATTTCCCCCCATTTTATTCTTTGAATTGTTGCAAGGTTAGTTTTCAAGCATGACAATGCTTTTTTTTTTTTTTCCTTTTTTCCTGGTACTAGGAAACACTCGGGAGGAGGCTTGACTTCACCCTTGTTGATGGGTAGATGATCATGAACAATGATAATCAAAGGACCTATGAAATACATGACGTATTTGCTGTTGATGGGATTACTGTTCTAAAGGTACAATGTCGTAAATCTTAGTCTAGGAAGACTTGTGCCTTTTGCTTTCCCTTTTTAGCAAGATTATTTTTAATTATTCATTTCTTGTTGAAAAGGTGATTGTATATTGATTTACGGCTTTCACCATAATGTACAGTCTCATAACTTTCACACAATTTTCATCTGTATATTCTCAATTCCAGTCCTGCATTGCCTTTTTTTTTAAGGGCAGATGTGTTAAATACTCCTTGGACTGTGCTTATATGTTCCAATTAGCAAGATGTCCATTTAATTTTTTTTTGGTGAAAAGGTGAATATATTAGACACAAACACGCGAATTTCACATTTTTTTGTGCTCATCTACGAAAACCTTCACATCTGCATCTGGTTTATCAGGCCCCACATTGCTACGTGTTTTATTTTAGTGCAAACCTTTTTTCTGGTCTGCTGCAGCGTCCGTTCAATGTACGCTTTAGTTTGATTGAAACAGAGATACTTTCACCAAAGAACAAATTTCATTCATTGTACGATTGGGAAAAAGAACCCTTTAAAGTAAGTCTTTTATATTATCTTAAAGAGAATCTCTAGAATTTTTCTGATAAACTCGTATTTGTAGGTTGTGCAAAAGCATTTTTGAAGATTTTTTCCACACTGAACCGCGCATTGAATCGAGAACCGAACTGCTCCTTGAATCTAGAAGTACCCAAAGACATCATTTTTCAGGTGCATAAGATGTTTGATACATGAAACAGAAAAATAAAGTGAGGAGAAAAACAAAAAGAATGCATTTTGGTGTTGAAAGCATTTGGTTCATTTTTGTGATACATTTTCCCAATAACTCTTCTTTCTTTTTTCTGAATTAAGTCTTGTAGACCTTGTTTCATTGGTCCTCGCTGGAAGTGGAAATGTGGAATCAATACAATTGATTTTCATTTCGAGGTTGCATTTCTTTTATTCTAACTGCTCCATCTTTTAGGCATTTCAATTTACTCTTACCCTGTCCTTGCAAGTCGTGTTCATGGTGTTGGTGATTTTTATTCCTAGTTTTCATTTATGCTTTGCATATTTCAGGTCATTGAGAATCGTTATCGTCTATCTGTTATTGAGGATGGTATGAAGAAGGTCATGGAGAAGGATGAGGTTTCATTCGCAGGTTAATGATTCCACCCATGAGATAATGCTTAATTACTGTTGTTACTTTTCTCTGAAAATCGTGTTCCTACTTCAAGAGATCATTGCTTAATTATTGTCTGTTGTTGCTGTCATGCATCATCCTTATGTAGTTTCTTTTGGCATCACAGACTCTGAAGATATCACCTGGTTAAATGGCAGAATCAACGAATGTGTTCCTAAAATGACAGGAAAAAATTCTTGGAAATTTGTGTGCATTAAAGACAAGACAGAGCCGAGCCACATAACCGAGTATGATCTGGTATAGATTGTTTTTTCGTATTGTTTCTCTAAGAATTTATTGGAGCTTGAGTTTTAGAAGCTGATGCTAGTCTTTGCAGGTGATGGCCCAAATTGAATGTTACAGATATGAGTGCCAGGTGATGCAATGTACCATCAGACAAGACCTAATCAGCAATGAGATCAAGCAGTTGCCGCGATTTGATCGTAAAAGGAAGAAAGAAGTTCAAAGAGGTGATGAAAAGTGAATTGTCAGAACCTACGGAGAGTGTTGGAAGGCAAACTGATGAAAATTTTGCTAAGAAGAAAGATAATCGAAATTCCATCATCTGTGCATCATTTTTTGCACTTGCATAGTTAGTCATCTTACAGAGGATGTTTAAATGGATTCTTTGTTCATATTAGAAAAAAGTTTTGAGTTTAAATTAGGCAAGCCTAGAGGTTAAAAATGGACTTCAACTAAACTTACATGTAAGGAGCTGAGCTATATCTATATCTGATGGAGTTTTGAATTATGATGTCTTGATGCGTAGCTCCAAATGTTGTGGCATTTGCATCCTGTTCCATTTTGAATTTCATATGCGGTTGTTTTGGAAAAAGATGAGATCCCATTCACCATAAAAAATAAAAAATAAAAAAATGAGTCCATCGCTGGCATATTGGTTGCGTTAATATACATACGCCCGCAGTGGTTCTCCCAAACTTCCTACTTTCCTTTCTTGGCAATTCGATTGGGTGGCACTTCGCTTTCCCCCATCGCTCCTTGGTCAGAACTCCTCCAGACTTTGAAATTACCATTTATTTTTCTGGAAGTATAATTCCCTGAAGAAGTTACCTGAAACAGCAGAGCGGCGGAAGTGCAGATCGCAGAGAGATGGCAGATCTGTGGATGCTTTTTGGTGACACTTATATTGTTGAAATTGGCGGGCTTGGGATTTTCTTTTCCTTTTTTTTTTTTTTGAAAATCTTTTTTTTTTCCCGCTCTTATTGTGCGTAATCATTCTTGGAGATCAGTTTAGTTTCTGATGCAAGCATTAAAAAGGGTGAGGGAATTAGAGTTCAGAATCAGATTTGGACGAGGAAAAAAACCTTAATTTAAGGATATGAGAGAGGTGAATTGGGGAAGAAGAAGGAACCGGTGGGAGGAACTTTCATTAATCTTTTATAATATTACAGGAAGTGCTCTGCTATTTAATCATTGAAGAGCTAATAGAAATAATTAACAACTAGTACGCAATAATACATTCACTACCATACAAGTCCTAATATAATTAATACGTTTGTAACAATAATACATTCACTACCATACAAGTCCTAATATAATTAATAAGTTTGCAACATTACTCCGCCCTTGAAAATTAGGCATGTCCTCAAGCCTAGTGAATAAATATACTTTTGTTACCACCGATTTTAATTAAAATCGTGTCGGACCTACAAAAGTGGTGAATCGGCCCAATACACCATGTTACAAGAAGTCCACATCCAACGCGGAGAAAGGAAATCCATCTTCGAATCGGAAAAGAAGACGCGTCGAAAGCCCAACCTAACGCAAGAGAAGACCAATTCCGGACCGGAGAAGAATTGCGATTGTAGCGGAGAAAGGAAATCGGAAACAAAAGTCAATTGTAATTCTAAATCGACAACACCTAATTCAATTAGGAATCGGAGATCGCATCGACTCACACGATTGCCGAACCCTATATAAAGATAGAGCTAGGGCAACACAAGACACAACTCATCATCAACACAAACAAAACACAAGCTGCAAAGCTCTTTTCTTTCTTTTTTGCACCCTATTGTTCTTTTCGGCACTTTCACAAGTCTTTTTTATTCGATTTACTCTTTGTAATTTGTTTAGTTCATCAATTTACGAGCAATTCAGTCTTTATTCAAGTTGTTACAAGTTTTAAGGCCCTTTCCTTTACGCCTAGTCGAATATTGCATCTCACGAATTACACACTTTCGTCTGAGATTGTTTGCAAGCGTGCATCAATTTCTACTGATTATTTTCGCACAAACATAATTGACACGCCTAGTGGGACTGATTTGCATGTTTCGACTAGGTTTGAAGTCATGTCAACAACAACAACTACAACTTTTGTACCGACAGGAGTTACTTCCTCCGGTCCATCAACAACTGAAGCAGCAAAATCAACCAGAGAAATAGGAATATCATCAGCTCTTCCGTTGCCGTTACCAGGAGCACTGATCCTCCCGATAAATCGGAATTTGGAATATGAGTTGAAAGGTTTGTATCATCCTCAGTTTCATCATAATCAAGGCACGGAGCAAACTTTGGAACACAGAACATCGTGGCTTAACGCTCAACTAGGGTTAGACGAATGGGGATGTACTAAAGAATCGGAGTATAACACACCCCAAAGTCTTGAGTAGATTATCATTGGCCAGCAAAACAATACTATCACCAGCATGTTAGCCTGTATCGCGGCGTTAGAACAATCTCTCCAAAAGGTTAACCCTAATGGAGGGGCATCACCCGAAACTTCACCAATAACGATGCGTCATTGAAAGTGCCACTATTGAATCTATCTACATCACTCACCCACGATAACCTTTGTTCTCTAATTCTTCAACACCGGTGCTAGGGTTGTCAACAAGTGGAACAAGTCAGGCCGAAGTTGTCCCAGAAAATACGCCGATACCAAACTCTAGCTGGTATTATCGAGTTGAACCGAGTCAACCTGCATTTACTCCACCAGCCAAAAATTTTACCTTTGATGGTTGTCCATTACCTTATTATGGGAGTTACCAGGGACCGGCTACATGTTTTGGCCTAACACCAACCGTTCTAGCTATGAGATGGCCACAAGAGCTCCAGGTTACCCACCAATAGGTGGATTCACTCCACCAAGAGTAATAATACCACCACCAAGACCAGTACTTCCACCAAATCCTTTGGGCGGACAAAATTGTCAGACGCAAGGTATTGAAAGCGCACATATTCAAGCGATACCAACTCCAATGACTGCTCGACCAGTTCCAGTGGTAGTCAATACTCCGCCAACAGCAAACCCTCTCCCAAACAATGATCAAAGGTTTGTGGCATATGGTAACCAACAAGGAAACTTGGCTAGCGACATACCGACCCCGCAAAGGATACCACGATAAGGAGCAGGAATTGTAATTCCTGAACAAGTCGGACAACAGGAAACTGTTCCTAGAATTCTACCAAGACATGTTCCTACAGTGGAGGAGTTGTTGGAAGAGCAACGGTGGATTGAGTATGAAGCAAACCAGGCACAAAACCGGACTAGGGAAAGAAAGAACACCTGAAGAAGGGATGTTTGGAATCCGCAAAGGGAAAATCAACCAGAAGCACAACTATACCAAGAACTTGAGAGAGAATTCCGACAGGAAGGTTTTGCACGAGAAGTGAAAGTTCCACCTGCATTTACCACAGAAGCTGGATTTAAAACTATGGTGGAAGATGTGGTCCGCAAAGAACTTGGATTAGAAGTACCATAGGTTATGGGCAAACCTTATCCCGAATATGTTGAATTTGAGCCTTTGCCGAGAAATTACCAAATGCCAGATTTTAAGAAATTTACTTCGGAGGATAATCAGAGGCCTGAGGATCATATTGGTCGCTTCGAACTAGAATGTGGAGAGGTTGGCCACAACCCTTTGTTGAAATTATGGTTATTCCCATATTCGTTGGCTGGCATAGCATTGGATTGGTACCGGACCTTAGAACCAGGATCCATTGCTGATTGGAATACTAAAAAACGAGTGTTTATTCATAATTTTCACCGTACCACGCCAAGGCTTTCGATTGTTGATTTATCATAAGTCTAGCAAAAATCCGGTGAAACAGCTGAGGCATATCTTACCAGGTTTCGACAAATGCATGCAAAGGTACCAGGAGCTACCTCAGATAAATATAAGGAATCTACCATTGTTAAGATGTCAATATCAGGAATTCAAGATTTCAAAGTAAAGTTAGTAGTAACACCACACCCAATCTGATCTCTGACACAGCTTATGGAAGTTGTCCATAACACAGAAAAGGTGATTCGAGCTGAAAGGGAATCTAAGCCAACCAAGCCCAAATCATGGTATAACAAAGAACCAATTGCAGAGGTTAATAATGTTGCTTGGAGTTCTTCTGATGATGAAGATCGGTCTTGGGATAGTGTCAATGCTGCAGAGATTATCAATTTAAAAAAGTACACATGTGAAGCATTACGCAGACCAGTTACTTCATAGACCTAAACCCAAGGAGTATCTTCAGCTGGAACTGCCAAAACTTCTGACACAGCAGCAACTGCAATATTTTACTCTTTTGACATCACCCAACAGGAAGCGATTTTTGATGACATGATGAAGACAAGCCATGTGCGGTATTGGAAAGGTTATCGACCGCCAAAACCGTCCAAAATCACTATTATGGTACGGTTCTCGTGCGGTATTCAAACATCAGTTGACCGAATTAGAGCAACGTTTTGGTGGGCATTATAATCAACCGATTCCAAGGCAAGAAGTCACTATTATGGTAGACTACCAACCACAAACATGGGTTCACAAACCAGCACCAAGAGAGATATTGCAGAATCATCTTCGACAAACGACACTTCATCCTCATCATCACGTACCACCACTAGTTCCGCAACCACAGTCAGTTTTTCCAGTAGAGTTGCAATCATCTGGTTTTAACCGCTCCTGTTTATGGTCATGTGCCTACAGTACCTTTCGGAAACCAACATGTACCAGTTGCTGCACGAGTGACCACACATGTGTCAAAGAAATCATCTGATTCCAAAGGAACGTCGGCATGGAATAGATTGTCCAAACCTAGAACACCTACTCCTGTGCGTCATCCCAGAATGATTAAACCAAAAGTGGTGAGTGATAATCAATGGCACCTAACCAACATCAAAAGTTTTCAGTTGTTCCTCTTGCTGCATCGGGTCTTACCCGTACTCAGAAATGACGATGGCAACGGTTGAGAGCTGGTTACTACAAAAATATACAATTAAACCGACAATCCAGGATGTCGTCAAGTCCACCACATAAGATGAGAAACCCTTCTTCTAAACGGAAATACTTTCGAAAGGTAGTGGATCGTAATCCTTCAGTCAATATGGATTATGTATTGCCACGGACATTCCATACTACATCTGATATACCCGCTGCTAAATCCCCGGTGTCAAGTACAGATACTGAGATGGTCGATACATTTGATACAGATGACCAAACACCACTGATGTCTCAAGGGGAGATAAAACAG